GGGGAAGCAGGCTCCCTGCTGAGCAGAGAGCCCGATATGGGGCTCGATCCCAGGACCCTGGAATCATGACCCGAGGCGAAGGCAGAGGCTTTAACCCACTGAGCCACCCAGGCGCCCCACCATAAGTGACTCTTAATCTCACAAAACAAACTGAGGGTTGCTGGGGGTAGGGGGGTTGGGAGAAGAGGGGTGGGGTTATGGACATTGGGGAGGGTATGTGCTATGGTGAGTGCTGTGAAGTGTGTAAGCCTGGCAATTCACAGACCTGTACCCCTGGGGCTAAAAATATATTATATGTTTATAAAAAATTGAAAAAATAAAAAAATAAAAAAAACTCATTCAAGCAGCAGAAAATCAGTTTGGTCATTGAAACCATTGAGCATTTTCATGTATTTTTTTAAATTTCAGCTTGATTGAGGGATTTTTTCAGGTATTTTTAAATGGCTCCTCTTATATAAACAGCATCTGTTCTCAAGAAAGGATCTTGAGACAATCAGCCATCTTCCTAAGAGCATCTATAACTCTGCATTAAGGAAGGGACAAATAGCAAGCTCTCTCAGACTCACATGTTTTTGTGTCTTCATGTCTCCCAGGAGGTTATCACACATCTCATACAGCCCCACACACACAGACCACACACACGCACATGCACATGCAGGGGAGCGCGCTCGCGCGTGCGCACTGGGTGGGACAGAGAATCACTTCATGGAAAGGAGCAGGGGGAGGCTACTCCCAAGAGCCTCTCTCACAGGGAGTCAAATGCATGACAAACACAGAAAAGCCAGCCCCAGGCTACCTCATTCACTCACTTGAGGCCAAAGGAAACCAAACATATTTAGCAAGATAAAGTTTTTAGAGTCCCCCCACACCCCACACCACCACCCACTGCCAAATTAGAGAATGCCAAGCTTAACTTTCAGACCAGAAGATCTTTCATCTCAAAACTGGGCACAGCAGAATCCCTCTGCTACAACCACGGAGCATTTCTCTCCTGAGAACAAGGCCACTGATGGCCACCCAGGAGATAGCCTCGGCCCTCAGCCCTGGCCCAGCCAAGACTGGACAACTACCTGAGACAAAGGAATAGGCCGCTAGGATGTTGCTGAGCAAAGCCATGTCCACGCACTCAGTAATCAGCAGCTCCGTGCTACGGCGGCAGAAGGGCGGCCTCGACGTGGCATCCAGAGGAAGTCTCCTGGAAATGCTTGAGCCGGATCAAGGCGGCACCTCCCTCTCTTCTCTTCTGTTTGGGAACACAAAGTGAGTGATGAGAACACATTCTGCTTTCCTGAGGCCGTGTTCCAGGTACGCTGGACTCGAGAACAAAGAACCAGTCTCCTAAATGCCAGCCAGCCTTTCCAGCCAGGGATCCGGGCGCTTGTCCCTTTTGTTCTAGCCCGCTTCTTGACTTTCAAGGAAGGAGCAATTCCTTCCATTTATGTTCTTCCCGGACTTTCCCTTTTCTCTTCCCCATCTCCTCCCCAGTGCCCCTTTAACACTTTCCCCTCACCTTCCCTGGAACTTCTTACGGCATTCTGTCTGGCTTGCCTCTTAGGCACAGCCCAATCACTCACTGTAACCCCAAGTGGCAGCGCAATCCTTTCCTGGCTCTGCTTTCTCCAGCCCTGACAGCACTGGTGTACTTTGATCACTTTGCCTCATCCCACAGATCACCAAATGTGTATCTTTGGCAGTGGGTCAGAGCTGGCTGTTCCACTACCAAAGTGGTTCCGGTTCTTAAATGCCCACAGGAACTTGGGAGCTTGAGCCCACTCTCTGCCCCCAGTTCCATGACTCCACCTGTGATCATGATGGGCCAATCACACACACACACACACACACACACACACACACACACACACACACAGAGCCTGCCGCTCAGCAGAACCGTCCCACCAGGGTTCAGAATAGGGACTTGGGAGCTCCATGTTAAGCGGCTCAGCCTGTACTTGATGGAACACATCCTCTCCCCAGCTGCTGCTGCAGCAGCTCAGACCCAGCACTGTCATTACCCAGTTCACCCAGTGAGGCTCTCGCTGAGATGGAGGCGGGAAGAAGCAGCAAAGACCCCGAGAACTCCTATTCAGTGCTCCTCTAAGCTGAGGACAGGGAACTGAGTCACAGTGAGTGGATGGATGTCAGGATGCGGAAAGCTAAAGAAGCAGAAGGCTCCAGTCCTTGGAGAAAAAACAGGTTCTCAGGTGGGACACGGTCTCAATAGCATGGACCACACAAGAGGGCCTGGGGAACTGCAATTCTGCAAGTGAAGGGACTGGGTCACAACAGAGAAGACAACTCACATTGGAATTGGTGGATTCCAATGGGCTCAGGGAAAACCACAGCAAGGAAAGAAAGCCCAACCCACAGGTAAGAGAAGAATGACGGCAAGGTCCTTGGAGCGGCTAGAGGCCCAAGAGTAGCAGGATGGGGGTGCCTGGGTGGCTCAGTGGGTTGCAACTTCTGCCTTTGGCTCAGGTCGTCTCAGGGTCCTGGGATCGAGCCCCGCATTGGGCTCTCTGCTCACGGGGAGCCTGCTTCCCCCCCACTCTCTCCCTGCTTGCCTCTCTGCCCACTTCTGGTCTCTGTCTGTCAAATAGATAAATAAAATCTTAAAAAAAAAAAAAAGAGAGAGAGAGAGTAGCAGGATGAAGAGCTGGAGCTTCAGGGGCTCTGAAAAGGGGCCCGCTGCTGCTGAGGGACTCTGCTTCTCTGGGCCAGAGCCCCGGGCCTTCTTCAACAAGCATATGAGTTCTTAAAAGGTCACAACTCTGTGATGCAGGTGAAAAGTTGGAACCATCACTCTGAGTTCAGACACTATTCTGCAGATGTGAGGACTTCAGGACCAAGGAAGAGAGTGAAGTCACTGGAAAATGTCTGAGGATGTGGTGGTGCAAAGCTACTTCAGATCCATTCCCTTCTATTATTCCCCACTACTTCTATAGCATAAGTCTCACCATTCCATTTCTTGGAGGTCTGCAACAATGCACACCAAATCCTCTGTTAATGCCTCCTTCCTGCTCAATCTAGCACACACTCTCACCAACAGGGTCATCTCCATAAAGTACAAACCTAATTACTTCACTCCACAGCCCAACTGTTCAACTAATCCCCATTATACTTTTTAGCACAAAACACAGCCACCTCCATAATATCTAACCCCTACCTTAGCTCCTAATTCATCTCCTAATCGATTCTACACCCATACACATATGCATAGAAATGTAGGCACACTTAGTGCTCCAACATTACCAGCTTACTTTTAGTTCCCCAAACACACCAAGTTCTTTTATCTTTTCATGCATTTGATCACGCTTTTCCTTTTGCTTAAAATGCCCCCTCCTCCCCTTATCGGTTTGGCAACATTTCCTTTAAAAGGAATTTAAAAGTCCTATAGCAATCTCAAATCCCAATGACTTTTTTTTTTTTTTTCAGAAATAGAAAAATCCATACTAAAGTTCATATGGAATCTCAAGGAATCTCAAATACCCAGGAGAATCTTGAAAAAGAACTAAGTTGGAAGTCTCACACTTTGATTTCAAAATTTATTACAAAGCTCCAATAAGCAAAACAGTGTGGTACTGGCATAAAGAAGGGCATATGGACCAATGGAATAGACCAGAGAGCTCAGAAATAAGCCCTTAACCCCTTGTCAAATGATTTTCAAAAAGGGAGCCAAGACCATTCAGTGAGGAAAGACCAGTCCCTTCAACAAATGGTGTTGAGAAAACTGAGCTTCCACATGCAAAAGAATGAAGTTGAACCCTTACCTTATATCATATTAAAATTTAACTACAGGGGCGCCTGGGTGGGTTAAGCCTCTGCCTTCAGCTCAGGTCATGGTCTCAGGGTCCTGGGATGGAGGCCTGCATCAGGCTCTCTGCTCAGCGGGGAGCCTGCCTCCCCCTCTCTTTCCGCCTGCCTCTCTGCCTACTTGTAATCTCGCTCTCTGTCAAATAAGTAAAATCTTAAAAAAAAAATCTTAACTAGAAATGGATCAAAGTTCTAAATGCAAGAGCTAAAATTATAAAACTTTTAGAAGAAAACACAAGGGAAACGCTTTATGACATTGGATTTGACAATGATTCCTTAGATATGACACAAAAAGCACAGCAACAAATGTTAAAATAAATTGGACTACATCAAAACTTAAAACTTCTATGCGTCAAAGGACACAATTAACAAAGTGAAAAGGCAACCCACAAAATGCAAGAAAATATGTGCAAATCATATATCTGATTGGGGGTTAATATCCAGATTATATAAAGAGCTCCTAGAATCTCAACAACAAAAAACAACCTGATTAAAAAAATAAGCAACGCGGGGTGCCTGGGTGGCTCAGTGGGTTAAAGCCTCTGCCTTCAGCTCAGGTCATGATCCCAGGGTCCTGGGATTGAGCCCCATATCCGGCTCTCTGCTTAGCAGGGAGCCTGCTTCCTCCTCTCTCTCTGCTTGCATCTCTGTCTACTTGTGATCTGTCAAATAAATAAATCTTAAAAAAAAAAAAAAAAAAAGGAACGGACCTGAGAAGACATTTCTCCAAAAAAGATACACAAATGATCAATAAGCTTATGTCCAACATTACTAATCACTAAGGAAATGCAAATCAAAACCACAACAAGATACCTCCTCACACCCATTAGGATAGCTAGTACCAAAAAAAAAAAAAAAAAAAGGAAAGAAGGAAGGAAGGAGAGAAAGAAAGGGAAAGGAAATAACAAGTGTTGGAGAAGATTGAGAGGAATTGGAACCCTCCTATTTTTGATGGGAGAGTAAAATGGTCGAGGCACGATGGAAAACAGGGTGGCAGTTCCTCAAAAAATGAAACCTAAAATTACCATAAGATCAAGCAATTCTATATCTTGGTACATATTCAAAAGAATGGAAAGCAGGGACTCAAACAGATATTTGTACACCAATTATTATGAAGTATTATTCACAGTAGCCTAATGGTAGAAGAAATTGACATTCCATCCACAGATGAATGGATAAACAAAATGTGGTATATATATGTATATGTATACACACACACACACACACACACACACACACACACACACACAATTGAGTATTATTCACAGCCTTAAAAGAAGGAATTTGTGGCACATGCTACAACATAGATGAACCTCAAGGACATTGAGCTAAGTGAAATAAGCCAGTCACAAAAGAGAACTGTAATGAACGGAAACACTGTATGATTCCACGTATGTGAAATACCTACAGTAGTCATTTTCAGAGACAGCAGAATGGTGGTTGTCAGCGGCTGGGGAAAGGAGGCATTAGAAGTTATTGTTTAGTGGGTACAGGGTACAAAGTTCCAGTTTTGCAAGATGAAAAGTATTCTGGAAATGGATGGTTGCACAACAGTGTAAATTCACTTAATGCCACTGAACTGTAAGTTTAAAATGGTTAAGCTAGTAAATTTGTGTTATGTGTATTTCAGCACAATTTTAAAATAATAATAAAAATAAGGTGTTAATGTGGTACAACAGTGAATTTTGAAAGTGTTGCTCCATTTAGGGAATCCTGCAAACAAATTTTGGTTTTAAGTTAACAGAAATGGCGGTAGAATTATTTTATACTGATATTAAAATGGAAGCACATAAAATTCCAATGTATATCTACATATAAATGTAGTTTAATTTTAGGTTTAAAAAGTTATTTCACTTTTCAAATTGGAGAGTAAATAATTGTAATCTACCACATTTAGAGATTAAGAGGAAAAACATAGCACACATCAGATGCAAAAATGTGTTTGTCTAAAATTTGATAAAAATTCATGATTGAGAGGGAAAAAAAGAAAGGTCCACTGCAGCGAAGCTTTACATCACTCAGACCCTTTTCTTTGGTGATCAAAGTATCCAAATACTCTTCTAATACAGCACCCACGATATTGTAATTGAATGATCAGTTTACAGGTTTTCTCCTAGACTGAAGAGGCATCTGATGTATCCTTGTCACTTGAAAATCTAGCCTGGTGCCTGATGAAATGCTGGTTGGCTGAGAAACAAATAGAGCATTCAGGCATGAGTTTTATATGCATAAGTCTCTGAGGGTGTTTCTAAACAGGTCTGATTGTGACCAAAGAATACCAGGGCTGACTGGCTCTGAGTGGGGTGCCAGGCAGAACACTGTCAGGACAATGAGAAGATCACACACCAGATGGAAAGTTCACTGTGGCACAGAAATTCTTCTGAGTCATGCGCCAGGCACTAACGGAGAGGGCTGCAGGAGCTAGAGGTAAGAAGAAGAGGGATGAAGAAGACAGGCCAAGGGTAAGGAAAGGTAACCTCTGGATGGTCCATCCAAAAGAACGACCGGGAAGCTCCTCCATGGTCGGTCCACATGGCACAAGTCAGCCTAGAGCAGAGGTCAGAGCATCTCTACTGTAAGGGCCAGGGAGTACCTATTTCAGGCTTCATGGGCCATGGAGTCTCTGTCTCAACTCCTCAGCTTGGCCATTGCGGTACGACAACACGTCCATGAACAAGTGTGGCTATGTTCCAACAGAACTTTATTTGCAAAAATAGGTAGTGGATCCAGTTTGGTCCATGGGCCATCGTTCCCAGACCTTTGGTCTAAAGTCTTACTACTTAAAGTATGGTTCAAGGACCAGCATCATTGACATCACTCGGGAGCTTGTTGGACCTACATAATCTTGGACACCACCTGAGACTTTTAGAATCAAATTCCCATTTTATAAAATGCCCAGTAAATTTTGCAAAGTGCTCTACCTGACCTCTCTGTGATCCCCTTCAGCCTGAGCACGAAGATACTGTAACAGCACAAGCCCAGGAGGCACTTAGTGCCTCCTTTATAAAGCTGACCTAGAGTACGAGGGCGAGTCCTCAACGGCCCTGCCACATAGGCAGTTCTCCGGGTGGTTACAGGACACCTTAGTGAGGAGACCAAGACAGAGGGCAGGGCTCGGCAGAAGAGATTCTGCTCAGGACAGCATGGTCTTCAGAAGTTAGAAAAGTGATCAACGCCAGAGCCAAACTCTAAATCCAAACCTTCTCCCTGACTCTTCCTTAATAGAGATGAGCAGTCCAAGTAGCTCTGGACACCTCCCCCTGGTGATCTGCCCTATCATTAAAACCTTTCTGCATCTCTTACTGTGGTGATGAATTTTATGAGTCAATCTGACAGGCCATGGGGTGCCCAGATTAAACTCTATTTCCAGGTGTGTCTGTGAGGGTGTTTCCAGATGAGGTTAGCATTTGAAACTGTGGACTCACAAAAGTAGACCACCCTCCCCAACGTGGGTGGGCATTATCCAGGCCGCTCAGGGCCCAATGGAAAGAAAGCTGGAGGGAGGAGGAATTTGCCCCCTTTTTCCTATCTTACTGCTTAAGTTGAGACAGCTCATCTCTTCTTCTCCAGCCTCAGTATGGACTGTCACCATCGTCTCCCCTCATTCCCAGGCCTTCACACTCGAACTGAATGATACCACAGGCTCTTCTGGGTCTCCAGCTTGCAGACGGCAGACCCTGGGACTTCTTATGTATCTCCTAGTGGTAGGATATATATTCCCTACTGCGTCTGTTTCTCTAGAGAACAATCACCAATTCACCTACCAATATGAAGGTAAGGGGCATGAAGCACTCATCCACCCCCAAGTACAATTTTGTGGTCTGTTCCTCAGGGAAGTCCTTAACACTGCCTAGCTCCTAGAATCAGTGATTCTCAACTTTGGGCAGTTAGCCCCCCACAGGGGACATTTGGCTATGTGCAGTAACATTTTTGGTTCTCACAACTGCAGTGGGTGTTAATACTGGCATCTAGTGGGTAGGAGGGAAGGACAGACGAAACATCCTACAGCATACAGGCTAGTCCCTCACAACAAAGAACTATCTGGTCCAAAATGTGAATGTATCAAGGTGGAGAAACCTTATTCTAAAAAACATCATAGGGCGCCTGGGTGGCTCAGTGGGTTAAAGCCTCTGCCTTCGGCTCAGGTCATGATCTCAGGGTCCTGGGATCGAGCCCTCCATCGGGCTCTCTGCTTGGCGGGGAGCCTGTTTCCCTCTCTCTCTCTCTCTTTCTGCCTGCCTCTCTGCCTACTTGTGATCTCTGTCAAATAAATAAAATCTTAAAAAAATTTAAAAAATAAAACAAACATCATTACTTCATTTACCGGTCTAAGTGATTCTCAGTGTTTGTGAAGTGCGTATGCATCACCAGTACTGTTGGGACGGTGTCAGAGAGAGGGCTGGCAGGCCTTGATCAGGACAGGAGTCCAAGCTCTAGGCCAGTAACTCAATATTCCCAGTGACCAGAAGAAAAGCTCACAGTAACGAAGCCCTCAAGAGAATACATCCACCAGTAGCAGTTTGTTAATTCATAACTGGGGAGTCAGCTAGCACCAGAGCTAAAGCAGGTCTTCTTGTAGACAACCGGATCCTGGGGATTATCTTGGCAAGGACAAAACTACAACTATGGAGCTGCGTAGTTTCAAAGCTGGGGCTTTCTCCTGGTGATGACCCATGGGATTAACCCCACACTACTTAGGGGAAGTCGTGCTTAGAGAACACTCCAGGGCCAGGCAACCAACATCACAGCACACTCTCTTTGGACAGAACCCACCAATTCTTACAAATCTTGCTCTCCGGTGGCCTTCTCTCACTCCTGACTCAAAGCTCCTTCAACTAATTACCGACAAACTGCAACACAACTGAAAAAACACAGCTTTGGTCCATCACTGACATCCCATAATTTTGTGTCCCCAAACACACACTGGTCTCTTGATGAAGATGACAGCCTACGAGCACCATCTCTTAGACGGCATGGCTAATTATACGCATTGGACGTTATTTTCACCGGCTTCCATTCTAGAGGTAACCTCACTCCCAGTGCTGCAAAATCATATTCTCTGGAACTCTGAGTCCACTCATTCATCTTGCATGTAATCACTGAGTGTATAAAATGAAATGTGCCTAAGGTTGACAGATTTCATCTTATACTTCAGTAGCAGCAGTGAGTAGGCCCTAGTGCATAAGCCGCTGTGCAAGTGACTATCTCATTACACAGCGTGCAGAGGGGGGTTAAAACTCATTATCCCCTTAGCTACCTGGGGAGGGATGTGCTGTCAGGAACAGAGGATCATCTGGCAAATACAGTTCATCCCTGGTGATTCTGGTGCTAAGCAGTAGAGGTTCTGAAACTTGGTTGGCCCCAGTTGGCTTCTCAGGCTCTGAAAGAAAAGAGAAATGGCACCCAAAAAAAAAAAAAAAAAATCAGAAAGCCATCACGTGCTCAGATGATCACATCATGCCTTAGACCTAGCATCGTCATGAACCCAGCAGAGAAGCCCAGGCAAGGTTTACCCGGATCTCTGAAAAGATGCAGTAGCATCTCCTGAGAGGGTAAAGCCCACTGCCAGAGTTTCATACGGAGTTTGAACCAGACAGCCAGAGACATCAAACTCCCAAGTTCATAGCAGAAAGGGAAGCAAGGGGTAAAAGACCAGTGGTGCAGGCTTCCTCTTCCCTCCTGCATCCAAAGCCCACAACCACAGCTACAGTGGGATGTGTCCACGTGGCCCCTCATCTGTGAAGTTTTCAGGCCAGTCTCTTTGAAACAGGAAGGGAGGGAATTTGGCCCCCAGATAGCAGTGCCTGGATGGCCATGAAATGAAGCCTCACGCAGCTCTGTGTAGGCACAAAAAACCCGGAAGTGCTGATGCGTGGAATCCCACAGCCGGAGTCGCAAGGCCTCAAGCTATGTTCAACCCAGCTGGGGAGGCCAGCAGGGGCCTCTGGACGACTAGAACTGCACAACTTCTTGATGTTGCCAGCTTCACCGAAAACTGTATAGAAGGAATGAAATCCATCCCGGAGCTCCAGGGGCGCTGAGCAGTCCCCCTGTTCCTCGTACACACATGCGGTCATTTGCACACACTTCCTGCTCACTCCTGCAGCATCTGACTTCTGCTTGTTTCTCCGTGTCTTACAGATACATATCCCAGCTGCCTCAGATTCACAAAGGAATTGTGGCACCTTGCTATCTCCATTTTCCTGGTGACGAGATTAAGGGCAAGAACGAAAAGGAAACTTAAAGCACAGGATCGATAGTTCTTTAGAGACTCGAGCACCAAAGCGTGGAAACAGGTCTTTGAGACCCACTCACCCTCCCCTCTACACTAGCGAAAACCACACAAGAACTGTCCCCAGTGTGGCCACATGGCGTCTGAGAGGCAAAGGCTTGAATGGAAAAAGAGCTTCCAGACCACAGGATGGGAAGAGGATACACGTGGTAGAAAGAAACCTGCTTTTCTCCACAGGACTGATAAACACCGGTGAGTGACACATCCAACATACTAGCCTGCCAGCCACTTTGCTTCCTTTGCTGCCTCAAACTTCCCCTCCAATGTAGCAAACCATTTCCAGGGATACATCCTGGACCTCTGACATCGAATAGGGGGTGCAAGCTCCTTAAGGGCAGGGACCATGTCTTCCTTCTGCTCTCTGTTCCCAGGGCCTCCCACAGTTAAAATCACAGAGCCAGTGTTGAGAGACTGTGGGTGATTGACTCACACTCAGAAATCCCACTCTCCAACCAGAACCTTCTATCTTCTACTTCTCTCACCCCTGGAATCAAAGGAATCTCTCTGAGACCTCAGACTTACTAAGAAAATCTTCGGGATCTAGGACTAGGCAAAGAATCTTTAGCCTTGACACCAAAATCACATTCCAAAACAAGGAAAATTGATAATTTGGATATAATCAAGATTAAAAAAAAAAAAACATTTCTTCTGTGTTAAGGGGATGAAAAAAACAAACTATAGAAGTGGGGGTGGGGGGGACCTGGGTGGCTCAATTGGTTAAACGACTGCCTTCAGCTCAGGTCATGATCCTGGAGTCCCAGGATCGAGTCCCGCATCAGGCTCCCCGCTTGGCAGGAAGTCTGTTTTTCCCTCGGACCCTCCCCCTTCTCTCTCTCCCCCTAATAAATAAATAAAATCTTAGAAAAAAAAAAAAAAAAAGAAGTGGGGGTGGGGGAAATATTTGCAAATCATTTATCTACCAAAAGGAATAGTATCTAGAATATGTAAAGAAACTTCAAAAATACGGGGCGCCTGGGTGGCTCAGTGGGTTAAGGCCTCTGCCTTCGGCTCAGGTCATGATCCCGGGGTCCTGGGGTCGAGCCCCGCATCGGGCTCTCTGCTCGGCGGGGAGCCTGCTTCCCCCTCTCTCTCTGCCTGCCTCTCTGCCTACTTGTGATCTCTCTGTCAAATAAATAAATAAAATCTTTAAAAAAAAAAAAAAAAAGAAACTTCAAAAATAGTGACAGCACCAAATGTTGACAAGGGTGTGGAAAAATGGATCACTCATACATTACTCATGGGAATGTAAAATGGAACAGCCACTATGGAAAAAACAATTTGGCGATTTCTTCAAAAACTAGACATGCAATTATCATACAGCCCAGCAATTGCATTGCTCCTGGGCACTTATCTCAGAGACATGAAGACTTAGGTTCCCACAAAACCCATATAGATATTTATAGCGGCTTTATTTGTAATAGCCCCAAACTGGAAACAACCCAAATTTCCTTCGATAGGTGAATGTTTAAACAAACTGGTACATCCATGACATGGAATACTAATCAGAACAAGAAAAAAACAAACCAACTTTTAACTCATGCAACAACCTGGAAGAAACTTCAAAAAATTATGCCAAGTGAAAAAAAAAAAACCTCAATCTTTGATTGAGGTTGTGTATTGTATGACTACATTTTTGTAACATTCTTGAAATGTCAAATTACGGAAGTGGGGAACAAATTGGTTTCAGGGGTTAAGGAGGGGATGGGGCCGGAAGAGAAGTGAGTGCAGCTATGCAAGGGCAACAGAGGGATCCTGGTGGTGAGGGGAATGTTCTGCTTCTTGACTCTATCATGGTGAACATCCCGGCTGTGATATTGTACTACAGTCCTGCAAAATGTTATCATCAGGGAAACTGGTTAAATGGAACACAGGCTCTCCCTGTGATTTCCAACAATAGCATATAAATCTGAAATTGTCTCCAGAGTCATCCTGAACTATAATCTTCACATTAAAGTTTAAGAAGAACTAATCTAAAAGACTCAACCAGGACATCAGGGGAAATTCAAAATTCTTTCTTAAGAGCAACAGTTGAAGGGAAAGAGAAGATGGTGAGAGTTTTCTTCTAGAATATGAAGGGATTATGTAGGAGAAATTAGATTTGGTTCATGTGGCACCAATAAACAGAACACAGGCTAATGTCAGAGAAGGCACACAAGCTTCAGGACTGATCAGACCTCTATTTAAAACCAAGCTCCATCAGCCCCTATCTTTAAGACTGGGCAAATTAGCTGACCTCCCTGACCCTCTGTTTCCTCCTCATTAAAATGAGGCTGATTCCTACGTCAATCAGTCAATCAATCAGCATCTAAGCAGAGAAACAGAAACTGTTTCAAGTATTTGCAACAGAAGGAATCGAGTGCAGGGAATGGATTGCAATGATGAAGACAGACGCACAGGTGGAAGGTGACGGAGAAGCTGAGGGATGAAGCCTGATATGATAGATGACAAAGTCAAGAGTTAAAGAACTTCTCAGATGGATGTCATTTTAAAAAGATGAAATTAGTTGGCATGAGGATGGGACCATGAAGCAATCAAGAGATCAGCACAAATGGGCGGCGGACGGTTGAAGGGACAAAGGGAGGAGGCATGTTACCCAGGAGCCAGGGTCACCAGGAAGAATCTGGAACCATAGAAATGTGGGCACTATTAGAAGAGATGCTCGAGGAAGAGAGAGAGGGAGGAAATACTCTGGCTTCCTCCATTCTTCTACCCTCTAACCTCCCAGTGGTGCCTTCATAGGCCAAACCCAGCAGGAAGCCAGAGCACCCTGGACTCTGAGAAAGGCAGCCTCCCGGTCAGGCCCCGCTATTCAGGGCAGAACAGGGATCGGAAGGCAAAAAGGCCCAGGTCTGGTCCACTCCTGAGGTGTATGTGAGAATACAGAGCATGTCAATGCCTGGCATACAGTAGGTGCTTAATAAATGCTATATCTAACTTTTATGCACCAATGTTGTATGATAAACATTTAAAGTCACATTTTCTCCTCACTTTATATCCAAATACATAGCAACACAAGCTGGGTTATCTGGCTCATGCCACATGCACTCGACCAAGAATGCTTTTTTTTTTTTTTTCTTTTTTGCCTCCAAATGAGCTACATATCTGAGAAATGCGAAAAGCAGCCCTGTCCTAAAGTTTCACTGTATAAAGCAAATGCTGAATTTCCACAGCTGCTGGCTTCAGCCTACCCAGAGGAATCGTTTCAGTGAAATATTAATCTCTGAGAAAGCCACACTGGGGTAAGACCGCACAGTAATTCAAGCAGCATGTGCAAAATTTATTTAGTGTTGGCCAGGAATGGCTTTAATTATATGAAGTCTTCAGAATGAGAAGAAAGTGACTGAAGATGTTTGACTAAATCAGTCACAGAGGCCCTGGACGCTCCCAGCTCCCTCCCCAGCTTCAGTTTATTTCTGCAGGCCCCAAACCATACACACAGGGGAGGCTCCCAAGAAACCGGATGATGGCTCTGCCAGAACCCGGATGCAGCCAGCAGCAAAACCCACCAAGACAGGAAGCATCAGCACCCACAGGGCGGAGACCTCCCCGTAGCATGAAGGCCAGGTGTCTGGCTGTGGGAGGATAACCAGGGTAGAACAGAGGGAGGGGTGAGAATCCAGAAGGAATTTTCAAATCCCAGGGCACAGTATGAAAGATGCTTTCATCAAAGGTTGCGGGTGGGCGCCAGGTGCCGAGTGTGCTGTGTGCCTGCCGGACACCTCCCTTTTCCTGGAAGTCACTTGCTGAGGTGTGCTGTTGGACTTGAAGTAGCACCTGGGAGTGGAGAGGGAGCCAGGACCCAGCTCTAAGGACCATACATGCCCTGAGGATTGGGCTTTGCAGACAGCAGAGGAGAGCCAGTCATATGGGCCTTAAAAATGGTCACCAACCATTCCAAAAAAGTAGAAGCCACAAGGTGTCCCCTAGGCTGGTGGGACAAAGAGAAAACCCAGGAAGTTATCTTTAGAGACTGCCTTTCAGCCTCTGGGTTCTATCCACAGACACCAGAACTCTGGCTCCAGCCGGGGGGCTGGGGGTGGGGGTGGGGGGCAGCAGGGGTTTCTGTTAGTAAGAACATTAGTTAGTAAGA